GTGTGTGTAAACCCCAGGAGGTCCTGCAGCTGGTGATCTGTTGAGTGCCCTGAGGTAGTCTCTGCTGGTAATCTGGAATATTGCCAGGCTTGGACTGCCTTGGTCGCAAATAAAACCATTTCCTCTCTGCTCCACCCTCTCCTCTTGATGTAGTGGAACCATGTGTGTATGAGGTAATGGAACCATGTGTGTATGAGGTAATGGGGTAGAGCAGTATCTGGTCAAAGGGGCCAAGGAAGACTCCTCATCTGAGAAATCTATTCCTGACGAACCCCAGGGTCAGAGTATTTTTTTTTTTTTTTTTTTTTTTGTCTAAGGTTAAAGGTTTTGGATTGTGGTGTCCACTACTACATCCTGTATATGGACTGGGCACACCCTGACAAGGTATGCATTCCGCCAAAAAGGTTCTTATGACAAAACCAAATGAAAAGGGAGTTCACTAAGTAAATAGAGTATGCCTTCGGTGGATCTAGCAGTTTATCTCATCAAGACCCTCACTTGTCCAGTGGATGAGGACCCAGTATTTGGGTCTGTGAGGGCTGCTCTAAAGCTGGCAATTATGTGTGTGGGCATGTGTAAAGTCTTAAGGTCTGGGCCTGCCATAATGATAGAGGGGTCCTACTAGTGGAGATATCAAAACAAGAAGAAACCTGGAAGATTTCCTACGTGCTCTTAGCTTCTTGTTGGACATCTTGATGACCTCCATTCAAGAACTTCCTTGGTTATGGGGTCTTGTCTGTACACATGCGCAGGGTTTTATGGCTGAAGTGTTGATCAGTGGAGTTATCTTGCAAGAAGCATATGGAACGTTTACCCTTTTAAGGGAATATATTGTTTTCTCCTGCTTTGGATTATTAAATCCGAAAAGTGAGCACCCTGTTACCACTCAAAAAAAGCCAGTTTCACAGAAAATGTTTTTTGAGCTCTTGATCAACTTCTCTCCCAAGGGCTGAGAGATTTTGCATTTTTTTTTTTTTTCCCCTCAAACTGTTTCACACTTTCAAAACTGAGCATCGATGTTTGTCCCATTCCAGATCTCAAGAGACTCAAAAAGTTCCTCCCTGTACAGAAGATCAGGATGGAATCAATGTGGTCAGTGATTGGCTCTCTCCGGCAGGACATTAAGGATGCTTATCTGCATATTCCAACTTTCCACCTCGCCAAAGGTTTTTGCAGTGGGGGACCACCACTTTGAATTTGTGGCCCTGCCATTGGACCTGTCCGCAGCTACCAGAGTGTTCTCCAAGATCCTCTTCCTGCCCACAAGGCTCCTGCATGCCCTGGGTACTAGTATTTTAGGGTACTTGAGCGACTTTCTTCTGAGGAAAAAATGTGCTTAGCTAATGGAGATCAATGCATCTCACATTGTGCACACTCCGAGAGGTTCAGATGGGTTCTGAATTTTCAGAAGGTGGCCTTAGTCCAAGCCAGAGGTTTGAATACCTGTGTCTGACCTTGGATACCGTCCAAAGAAGAGTGTTCCTCCCTCTAGGCTATTGTGGACTCTCTCTGAGGACTAAATCCCTCTTTTCGCTTTATCATAGTGGTTCTGGGAAAGATTGTAACCTCCTTCAAGGCAGTGCCCCTTGCCCAATTTAGTGTCAGGCCCCTCCAAAGGAATGTTTTAATGATATGGGACAGGAGGTCACAGTCATTGAGATTATCAAATGTTGTTACTGTCCAGCATTGAGTTATCTCTGGACTGATGGATCTCCTTATGGATGCTGGAGATGGAAAAAATCTTTTCTTCCTCTGTTCTGGAGGATTTTGATGAAGGACACCAGCCTAGTGGGCTGGGCTCGAGTTATGGACAATCTCTTGGATCCAGGGATTAGGTCACCACAGAAGAGATTGTTGCCATTTCACATCCATTTTGGCCTGCTGGTAATTGCTGCTGAAGGGCCTCCCTGTAAGGGTTCAATCATGGACAGTGCCCTGGTGGGTGGTGTACGTAAATCAAGGAGGCACCAGAAGTCAAGCTCCTCCAGAAAAAAATTGATCTCATCCTGTTTTGGGCAAAATGTCATATCCCCGCTTTATCTGTCTGCAGTCTACATTCCCAGATATGGATCTTCTAGTGTTCAGATTCAATATGAAGTTGGACAGGTTCGTCTTCAGGACCAGGGTTCCTGGAGTGTTTGTGGGTGGGGCTCTGGTGATACCATGAGACCAGTTTTCCTTAATTTATGCCTTCCCGTCGTAGCTTCTAACTTGCAGAATTGAATTCTGCTTTGCTGGATTCAAGAAGGAATTCCGGTGATTCTGATTTCCTTGACTTGGCTCAAGAGAATGTGGTACTCTGGAAGGATCTGGTGAATGACCTTTGGACCCTTCTGGATCCATTCAGTATGATGACTGTTGAAGTCGGGTCCTGATTTGGTCATTCCTACCCTGCTGAAGGCTAGGAAGGTGACTTCAAGGAAGATGTATCACGGAACTTGGAACTCATATATTTTGCTTGTTGAGGGCTAGGGGATTTCATCCTCGCAAGTGTGTTGTGGATCACATCCTGGCTTTTCTCAGTTGAGATGGAACTGGTCTTGACTATGATCAAGGAACAGATTTTGGCCTTGGTGGTCCTTTTTCAGAGACCAATTGGCTCACATTTCTTGGTGCTTGCCTTTTGTGCAATACGTCACTTGTATTATTAAGACTTTGTTCAGTTGTGGGACCTCAACTTGATACTTTTCTATTGTGGAAATCTGTGTTTTGAACCCATGTGGGATTTACCTTTAGCCCTTCTGACTGAAGGTTGTTTTTTGGTTGCCATTATGGCTCAGTGTTTCGAAATTGGTTGCTCTTTCCTGCAAGGAACCGTTCCTGGTGGTTCACTGTGATGAGATGGTTCTATGGCCTCAGCCATCCTTTTTACCTAAGGTAGTTTTTGTTGCATCACAAACAGGACAATGTGTTGCCATCCTATCCTAAACAGACACCAGGGGACAAGCTTCTTCATACCTCTGATGTCGTTCGTGCTATCAAGTATTACCTGAAGTTGACTGCAGCTGTTCGTCTGTGTTCTGCAAGGCCCAAAGAAGGTAGCTTTCAAGCATCAGTTTAACTCTCAAGCTTATGGTCTAAAGGCAAATGTAGTTTGTAAGGCTGTTGACTCTTTCATTCCATACTTTTATGAAGTTTTACTAAGCAGATGTTTAAGCCACAGAGGACACTTCCTTTTGGTGGGTGAGAGTCTGCTGCATGAGGTTTTAACCTGTTTTAAAAACACCCTTAAAACCTGTGCTTGGGTAAGTATAAAATTCCTTTTATGCAGTTACTATGTGCCTCAAAAGATAAATAAACCTCAGTATGTGACTCTGCAAGCTATCATAACTTAAATCCAAAGCAAATAAAATCATAACTAGAAACAGAAGTATTTTTTAATCAGAGAAAAAGGCTGCTGCTACTACATAGGGTACTGTCCCTCATAGAACTAAATAGGTGTAGTTAAGCGCTGCCTAATCATAACTACACAAATATATAAGTAGTGTCATACTGTACAATTCAAAGCCCATAAATGTGCAAAACATTGCAGTCCCTTTAAACTGTATCTGTGCTGTATTCTTCTTAAAAAGTGCTTATTAACACACTGTGCTCCCCACCAGTGATCTACCTCACTTACCAACTTGAGTGTACATAAGATGTAGGTACTCATAAGAAGCGAAGAGAGGGTTCAAATAGCGTAATTCCGTTTATTAAAATTATCAGGCAAAATATATTGTACTCACCTAATTAAAATGAATGCCAAGTAATATTTTAACAAAAAATGCAGATTTTTACATGTTGGAGAGGAATGTCAGTATTAGCCCAGTAAGAAAGTGATTTACGCATATCTTCAAGTTTTTTTTTTTTTTTTTTTTTTTTTTTTAAGTGTGTGTAGAGGCAATTTTTTTTTCCTATTTCGATAGACTAGTAAATGGATAAGTCAAACAACAAAAAAGAAAAATTCCCAGCTCTAACTTGCCAGCCAGCCTGCAAACAAAACGAATTTGCCTGTCTAGCAATATACGTTAAAAACAAGGGTTTAGTTAGCACACATTTGTAAATACATGCGTAAGCTACAGAACCTCGTCACGGCACCCCAGTGTTCTGTAGTTCCTAACGCTACATATTTAAGAGCGCCCATAGTATAGGCACATGTATTTAATGGATAGACTAAGGGCAGGTGGACCTGATGGAGCCCAACCCTCCTTAAAGGTACATGAGCGCACTGGACACCCAGAATGTAGCACAATAATGCAACAGCAGTAAATGGATAAGCCCTCAGGCAAGTTTTTCTTGCTGTCCCTGCTGGGGAGATTACCCCTCTGTTGGTACTGGTGGCCATTGTCACAGACACAAAACATGATGGTAAAAAAAAAAAGATTTGTTGCTAGGGTAGAACATAAAACATGGTCACAGTCTGCAGCCCTATCACAACACCCCCCCCCCCTATTGATCCTGGGGGTTCCTCTCCCAAAGCACCCTACGTATATTTAAAGTTGTCACTCTGTCCCTTGAGGTCCCTTCTGCCATCAATCGTTTTCTTTATGTACACAATTCCTGCAAAGGTGTTGAGCATGACAGTGTAAAGCTGGTACAACCTCAAATATGCAGACAATCTGAGCTAAAAATGAATAAAGAAAACTTGTACTGTGAATATGTAGGCTGTTACATCCAAATACATCTCTTAGAAGCCTTTGGATCAGCTTAATAACCAGATAACTAATTCTGATCACTGATCAAGAATAAGTATGCAAATCATGAGTTCTAACAGTATGTTGACCCAGAAGGAACATGTAGCTATTGAAATCACTCAGAAGATATTACGACATTGGCCAGGCAGCAAGCATTCCAAAAGACCAGCATTGCCAGCCTTTCTATTTCTCTTTAACTTGTGGGCTTTTTTTTTTCTAATTGACAAACGTGATTAGTAGTGAAATAGATAATTTGCACCAGTATATGTTTTTTTGTGTTGTTTTGTTCATATGACTTAAGAACTTGTATGTATACATGTTTTGCAGAAATAATATTAATTATCTTTTGGGATCCTGGTGGCCCAACCTTGAAGACTTGTACGAAGCAAATGTTCCAGTTTACAGGTTCATTCAAAGACCAGGGGATTTAGTTTGGATAAATGCTGGAACAGTCCATTGGGTTCAAGCAATCGGCTGGTGTAATAACATTGCATGGAATGTTGGCCCTCTTACAGGTTTGTATAGTCTTCACATGAGAGTAAACTATTCATGAGAAGGTAAATTAAACTCCTAATTAATTTAAAACAAACCAGTTGCTTGCAAGGGTGCCCAATACAGATATTTATCTAGATTTAATTTTAATGCAGCAGTCCTTACAATCCAGTTTGTATTTTTAGTGAACTTTATGGTGACTTTGGTACAATTGATAAGTTTACTGGCTAGCATTAGTAGCTATGTACTTTTAACTGATGGTCAGTTCCTGCACCACTTTGATTCTGATGCCATTTGTATGGTTTTTCATTACTTTTTTTTTTTTTTTTTCAGCTTACCAGTATAAGCTAGCTGTGGAAAGGTACGAATGGAATAAATTGCAATGTGTAAAATCTATAGTACCAATGGTTCATCTCTCTTGGAACATGGCAAGGAACATCAAAGTGTCTGATCCCAAACTCTTCGAAATGATAAAGTAAGTTGTTAGTTCTTTCTTCTTCATTGTATTTATGTATGTGCCTTTTTCATTTTGTAGTTGTGCTCACTGAATTTTCCGAGCTTTAAAAAATTATTCTATATGTAAAACACAACACTTTCAAAAGTTTTACATTTCTTTTAAACTTCAGTACCGTTTTCCTGCACTCAAAAATAGCTTATTAGCAACTTATCTTTCTATTAATCTTGTCAACATAATTTCAGTGCATTTACCACTTCAGCTCCCACGCTTACCCATTATGGACCAGCAATTTTTACTTTTCAGCTATGAGCCAGTTAAATTGCACAACCTTTTGTCATTACTTTGTGTGTGTTTGGGGTTTTTTTTTTTGGAGGGGGGGGGTTTTTTTTACCATGATGGCTGTCTTGCCAGAAATTTTTAATTGTTCATTGCAGGACATGCATTACTTCATATTCACGATACTTGGGTTATGCTGCCACCCTCAGGTGAATGGAAACTGACTAAAAAGACAGGAATTCCCTACCCATGCATAACTCCTCACAGTTTTTGTTTAGTGTCTTTAGGTGTTTTGCTGTATGTTCTTACAGATGTCTCTGAAGATCTCTTTTAGTGGGCTTTAGTCCCCTGTTTTATGGCTTATTCTGAAGACCTGTGCTAGGGTGGGAAAAGGCTTCATCTTCATCAGTCACCCTACAGCCTGTGGCCAAGAGGGGACTGTACCCAGACTCCACATGTATGAGTGGGGACAGCCTGTAATGTTTCCAGTCGGCGCTGGATCTTGCAGCCAGCAGTCTTTGAGTTACTGTCTATCTGGTGACCTCCTAGCAGAGTTCTTTACAAGTGCAAAGTAGTGAATCCCCCTGGAGGGTAACAAAGTCCTTGAAGAGCACTCCAGCTGAGGGGTGACAATTGACCTTTCTGACCCTGCAGCATGGACTGGTGACTGCCTCTACACTAGCGTGTGGTAGTCCTGGTTAACACAGGGCAGCTACAAGTCAGGAGTTTAGCTATACTGAGGCACAGCCCCTGCACAGCTGCAGCAACCTACAGCTCATTGTCCCCAGGACACAGTAAGTATTGGTAAATTGCATAGTGTCTTGCCAAATATGTGTCTAGCTAGGCATTTAAGCCATTTCCAGACCAGCTCTTTAGGGTTCTCACTAGTTTGGAACACCTCTTTTGCAGTTGTGGGCTGTCTCTTTTGACCCCCTTTCATGCTAGGGGGTAATGCATCGGAGAAACATCCTCAAGATGAGATAAGGAGAGGAAGCTATAGTGGATTGTAAATTCTCTGTGGACTAGTCCTCTCAGGAAGGAATCTCAAGGTCCAGGGCTGTCTCAAGACAGGCAGAACACAGTGGCAGGCGTGATGCACACTGATTTGAAGTTATAGCTCCAAGAGTCCTTTTTGCCTAAAATTGCTAAATGTATTCTAATTAGGCTCACCCGGGAGAAGGTGTTTTGGTATTTCCACCAAAGTACATCACACAGCAGTTAGCCCATGGAGCAGAAATTTTAAAAGATTTCAATGTTGGCTGTTCTGTTTTGAAGGCCTATTGCACTCATTCTATGGAAAAAGCCTTTGTGCTCAGTGTTACATGGATTGTTTCATCTGTATGCCCTCCTTTGTCTCTATGGAACTTTATTTTGATCTAAATTTCTCCTTTTGAGCCTGTTTGAGAGATCACCTTGGCGCTCCTCATAGCCTGGCTATACATTATATAATTTTCTTGTTAAATTTCCTTTAGATTTACTTTCAACTACGTAGTGCAAGGACCTGCTTGACTGCATACAAATTGAAAGTGTTTAGGTTTGACCTCATAATATAAGTTTTTGGTAAATCTAAAAGAAAATTGTATAACGAATGGCCGGCCTTATGCGTAAAGTTGTCTTAATGGTTGCCATTTATTCAGCTTGCAGGGTATCGGCGCTGGCTTCACTTTTCTGCACAGAACCTTTCCATGTTCTATATCAGAAAAAGGTGGTGTTCAGGCCTCAGTTCTCCCCTTTTTTTTTTTCTTTCATTTTTCACCATTAGCTGTCTAAGCCAATTATGACATTTCCCACATATAAAAATTAGCATTTTTTTTTTTTAAACTAGAAAATTACTTGGATCCCCAAAACATTATGCATTTTCTCAAAGCAAGGACCCTGGAAAAAATACATGTTGCAATTTTTATGCCTTGTGATATTTGTGCAGCAATTTATCAAATGCAGATTTTTAGGAAAAATACGCAATGAATTTTAGTGCACATAAACACTATTATCCCCACTTTTTTGCATAAAATATAAATGAGGTTACACTGTGGAAATAGATACCTAACATGTCACGCTATAAATTGCTCACAACTGTGGAATGGTGACAACCTACAGTACTTAAAAATAGGCAATGATTTAGAAACGTTTACAGGTTACCAGTTTCAAGTAAACCGGTGGTCTACTGCTAGAATTATTGCTCCTCACTCTGACGTTTGCTGCAGTACCTTATATGTGTGCTTGTGATCACAGTTTACATGTGTGCAGGACGTGTGTATGAGTTTGCATGTGCGTGGATGGGTGTGCTTTCATTCTTTTTTTTTTTTTTTTTTTTTTTTTCATTCTTTTGACCAACTTTGTTAACTTTTATGAACAATATTCCTTGTGATACCTTTGGTAGTGACAGATACTCTTCACTGAGAGATGTGTCTATTAGATCCCAGATCTCTCCTCTGCCTTTAAAAGCATCTGATCAAATAGATGCTTTATAAGCTAGTAACAGCTTGTAAATAACAAACTGAAACTGAAAGAAACAACATTCTCGTCTTGTCCAGTTTCATACATAATAGAGACGATCGAGGCACAGAAGTTCCTCCATCTCTATGGTAAGCTGACCCAAACACCCACATTGGTTCTGGGCTTCCCAGTGGAACAGGAGAGCCCAGAAAAGGTGATGGGGTGGGGGGAAACCCCCTTCCACCCCCTGTAAAAGTGATTGCGCAGCTATATAGTCGCTCAATCATTTATACATTAAAGAGCATCACTGGCTCTAAAAAAAAAAAAAAAAAAAATACAATGCCAGGATCATGCCTCCTGCCATGATCCTGGTAAAACCACTGAAGTTCAAGGACATACGTGTACATCCTATTGTGATACATGGTTAATCTAAAGTTGTTTCTCCATTTTACCTGAATCAGTACATCATGTTACCTTATTTTTATCTTGATCTTAAGCATAATAGCGGGAAAGTGCTTTGATCAAGTTGTTTGAATTTATCTGAAACGTTGACAGTCTTATTCCCTGCTTGTACTACCTGAGGGTTCTTGCAAGGGTTAGGCTGCTTCCCAATCCGCTAGTTCAGGTTGAATTTGTTGGCTTGTTCTCAGGCCTTGAGGGCAAGGTTACGCATTTCCTGGTCAAGGTTCACTCACTAGTAACGAGTATCAATCATTCCTGGGTGATTCAGCATCAAGCTTTAGTTTGAGTTTGTAATGCTACTACCCGTTCTTCTCTTCACACATTTGCTCAGTTCTTACAGATGTATAGGTTTTGTAGTGGGGTTCTTGCCTATTCATTTGCTGTGCTGCCCACCCTTTATGTTCAGTGTTTTAGAACATCCCAAGTAGACGTGTATATGAAGTACCCTGTGTACTATGATGTACAATTCAGGTACAGAGCATAAGCAGAATATTTATACACTTTGGGTTATAGGCATTGACCTTTTGGACACTGCCAAAGCTTTAGAGGACAGGTCCCCTGGGTGCCTCCCCTATAAACCCTACCCTATTTTTGAATCCTCAGTTTTGTGCTAATGTCTGAAGGTGATGTACCTTTTCACTTCCACTGAGAAAATCTTACTGTAAAAAGCTCTATGTTGCTTTATTTTTGTATTTTACCTTCAGATTCAATCAGTCCCTTACTGTCTTCTACTACCAACGTATAAGCAGTGTTTCCAGATCGGCACAATCTCAGTAAAACCTTTGGAGCTGAACCCCATGCTGTGGGGAAGGCCCATAATGTAGCTTCAGGCACTGAATCCTACATGGGCACTCACCTTGGCACTTTGTTAAATACATTGTTAGCCATAGGATGCTGTACATTTCCAGGGCCATTGCTATAGAAGCCAGTCCCTGAAAACCCCTTTGGGGTATGTCCATAGTGACCTGTGAAGCCTGGACTTTTTATACAGTTCAGCACCATGGACAAGTAAGATAGCATCACCCTGTTTCTGACCAAATGTTTTGGAATGTATTTTCCTCTCAATGAATAGTCTTCAAACTTGGCGCTAAAACTCAACCACTCAAAGCTTTGGCTCAAGTGATTGAGCAGTTGTTACTTCACACCACTGGTTACACATTTTACCTTCACTTCCCCTAGAACCCTTGTAAGGTCCCTAGGCTCTTTCTCCCGCCCTTTTCACAAGGTTTCCTTACAGGACAGTCTACACCTGGATTACCGCCTACTGCTTATGGTTCTAACACCTGTCTTGGCACCCGATTCTACCTTTATTTCATGCACACAAAAAGCGGCCCAGTTGATTAAAGTGGAATTCTCTGCATCTTTGTCACATTTCCTTAACAGTTTATGGCCTTAAAACCACCATCTTTTTCCAGACCTTAACACTACACATTTTTCCTACTCCTGCTTCTCAGCTTAATTCGAACACCAATATGCCAATCCTTGAATACACAGAACAGAAGAAAGAGGCTACTGGGGTAGTATTAGAGGAAGCTGTGGAAGATTTTTCCCCCAAACTGCCACTATATCTGCAGTCAGTGATGAATGGGTCACTCCTGAAAGGGATATTCCCTCCCCGCAAAATCTTTGCTGGATCTACAGTGTGTGCATGTGTATACATATTATTATTATACAGTATTTATAAAGCGCCAACAGTTCGCTCAGCGCTGTACATTACAAAGGGAGACAGAACATGCGACAGTACGAAAACAATACAATGTGATACACGAGGGGTTCGAGGACCCTGCTCTTTTGAGCTTACAAACATATGAAAAGGTTTGCAAAGAAGTGGGCTATTCTTATAT